GCTCTGAAAGATTCATTCCCCATTCTTAATCACATCTACAAAACTCTGAGCGTTCATTTACTCTCAGACTGTAAAATATTGATTTATTTGCTGGAAGAATATGAGATCTGGGCAATGAGTCAGGGGTATGGAGCCTTTTCAGACAGTCTAAAAAGATATCGTCTGTACATATATTGATTTAAACACTGACAGTGTCACAGGATTTTCATTCCTACTAACTGTTCTTAATAATTCTGCCAGTATGACCACCAAATTAAATAGGTCTTGAATTGAATTTGGTCTCAAAAAGTCTTAGATTTCACTAGCTATTGTCTAGAGAAAACCCTGTTACTCAGAAAACACTGGTTTTTAATCAGAATCTGCCGTTACGCTGCTCTCTGAGGAACACTAGGAGCTTTATTTAAATGCATTTTTTATTTATTCTGATACTCTATTGTTTCCCCCACAGATTTCCACAAGGCTGCTCCCTACGTGGTCACTGGCAGCGTAGATCAGACAGTAAAAGTGTGGGAGTGTCGCTGATTTGGACCTTGGCGGATTGGACCAACACCCCCAATTTCCCAGGAGCTCCTCTGGATCCCACCTCTCCTCCTGCCATCCCACCTCCTCTCTCATCCCCCCTCCCCCCCTCACCTAACCCTGCACATCATCTCCTCCGGCTGCACTTACACCATGGTTATTTACTCTCTGGTCCAATAACTATTGTCCTTCTATGTAAATTATTCCTGGATGTAGATCGAGCTATTAAATGTTACACAAAAAAGTATTCTTGCATGGTAATCCAAAATTGTATACTGTAAATTTACATAATGTCTAGAAGTACCATAGGTTTACCACGAGGCTGTCCGTCTGTCACGCAGCCTTACCGACCAGCCGAAGGCAGATGTTTTTGACTGGGTGTAAAATGTAGGGCACTAAAAACCGATAATTTAAGAAATGACAGTGTCTTTATGTGTAAGATTTATTTTTTGTCTATTTTTTTATTTAGGATTTTTTTTCTGTTTTTTCTCTCCTTCACTGTCGTAGTCTGTTGGTGCCTCGCTTGGTGAAACTTCGGAAAGACGAGGCTGGAAAAGGCATATATGATGCGATTGTCTGTGGGGCTTTGTTATTGAAATAATCTGTAGCTTTATAACATCACTTCTCAAGTGTGCATACCATTTCTCTTCATGTGGAACTAGGTAATATTTTAATGGCTGTATATACGAATGTTTCAAACTTTTGTCCTTGGACCTCGGGGGCTTTAAAACAGCGTTGTACTCTTGTCAGGGTGGCAAACAAACCACTGCTAGGCTTTAGATAAATTATCCCATTTAAGGAATCTGCAGCGAAGAATAAGTTCAAATGCAAACAAGTGGCTCTGTGAATAACCGCACTTAGTTTTCACAGTAAGCCCGACGTAGAGAGCAAGTTTGTTTGTGTTGTGCTGTCGGTGTCACAGCATCACCTGAACAGAGTTAAGGGATTACTCCTGATTAATCTCCAGCACTTGATAAAGGCCCACAGATCTCCTGTGAGATCTTGCATGTGAGACTCTTGTTGAACTGAAGCCTCTGGCCACTACTAGTCCGCTGAGCACGAAGTCTCGGCAGGGTTCGGTGTATCATAGGAATTATGTAAAGTCAGAAGATGGTGAGTTGTCCCGCGGCACCTGAAGCCTACAAACAGAAGCCTTGTGTAAAATAAACCCGCTAAAGAGAAAAGCTGAAGGCATGACGAGGAGTCAGTGAGCCCCCTGGGTTAGATATCTGGGATGTGCAAAGATCTCTAATTTCTGAGGGGGAAAGATATGTTCTGCATAATAAAAATGGTTTTGAGTAAAAAATAAATTAAAAAAAGTCAGTTTTCTGTGAAAATATGAAATGTAAATTTAGCTTGTTATTAGGATTTGGCAATTTTGTATTATCGCACTAAAGGATGAACTGGATGGGAATTTAGGATTAGTGTGGAAATGCTAGCAGATGCTAAGTGATATGTGGATGGTGTTTTTGTCTGTAGAGCGGTCTGATGCTTCTTTGTTGTAAAGAGCTCCTCGCTGTTTAAAGAGGCAGCAGCAGCAGCAGCAGCGCCTGCATACGAGCCCGAGCAGCGAGGATCTCTGCAGACAAACCCATCTCACATGTATGCAAACGTCGTCCGAGTGGCTTTCCTTAAAATATTCAGCTGTTGATCTTTGTGGAGCTGTAACTAAAAGACTGGAAGATAACCAAACCAGTCCAAGCTGTAGAAAAATCATTCCACTCTCCTCGGAGGATGAACAATGAAACATCTTGCTTCTAACTGTAGCTGACAAGGTGGTTCATTCATCTTGCACATCCCTGTTTTCACTACATCTTTGGTCCTTTAATGATGATCAAAGACAACATTGAAATTGAATGATGTTGATAAATGCATAAACGATTAATTTCTGATTAGCCTTTCCATTCCAATGCAGTTCTTGGCTAATAAAGAATCCACTGCTTAACTGATGTCCTTATGTTCGCTTCTTTGCCGCGTTTTCCTTTTCCTGTGTGTACCGGATGTGTTGATCTGCTGCTAAAGCTCCTGCTAGTGGCTGTGAGTCTAATGTTACCTGTTGATGTAGCACCGCTGCATGTGAACCTGCACCAGAGGCAAAGCTGTCGGAACAATGCTTTTTTAAAAGCTTAAAGACTGGGTCAGAGGCCGATTGGTTTGAATAGTGAGCTCAGAAACTGTACTTAAATGAGCTCTACATTATAAGGAGATATGCTGATTGGCTCTCTTGCTTAGCATTGGCTAAATAAGATTATTGATACCACTCATTGTGGGAGATTGGTGCGGGCTATCTTTGCAATTCAAATAGAAAAATAGAGATATCAGTAAATCAAGATTTTAAAAAACTGCCTGGTCTGCAAATGTGAGGGCATGTCATTTTAAGTGTTACATGCTTGAAGCTGTAGTTGATTTCAACAAATTGACACTGGGAGATATTGAACATTTGATCTACAGTTAACGTAGTTGTGAGCATAAAACAGTTTGAAAGGTCTCCTTAATGTGTCAAATTCAGATGACACTGAGCTGGAAAACAAACACTCAAACTCGTAAATATGAAGCCAGTTTGCGTAGTTTAACACACACAGGCCTACTAGCCTGGCTTTATTAACACAGAATACCATCACATAAACCAGCAATACCAGCAACAACAAGTTCAGAAATGAATGTATTGAAGAGAAATTGTTAACATAAGGTATTACTTTTAAGAAAAGCTTAAAGTCATCAGTAAAGTAAAATTGTTCTTATAAGCTGACTAACCTATGTGACTATTTCTCGACTTGAACCCGTTTTAAGCATTAGTGTGAGTGTTATCAATGATCTCCTAAAAACCCAACTCTTGGCAAGCAAGCTGATAAGCGATTCTCTCCCAATCTCAAACTATTGCTCTCACATTGCTGAGTTCAGACAGCTCTGTTTGTTGGTTTGTTGTGTGATGCTATTTGAAGGAGGTTTACGTCCTCTTCTGTAAATGCAATGGGATTGTGGCAGACTAGGATGTCCCTAAGGATAAGCTCTCTCTTTCAGGGAATATAACTCATGTCTCCCTTCGATGTGTGCCCTCTTGAGGTTTTTTTTTCTATAAGCGTTTTTCTCTGACCTAACTTCTGAGGCAAGGATTTTGGGTGGGGAATCAGCTCATTTTGTAGTACATTGGCATGACTAATGAAGATGCCAATATGTTAAATGTTCTAGCTGAAGCCAAAAATGGAGACGTGTCAGTACAATCTGGTTTAGCTTGAGAAATCAGCCTCCTTTTGTTATTGATAATGACACTAGTCTCCTTAGGATCACGCTATGACATACCAGACCATAACATGTAAATTAAAAACGTTTTCCATTTCCTTGGTTTTACCCAAGGAAGGTGTTAAATGAAAGGTCAGGACGATGTGTGTTCTGCTTCTTTTGTAAGAATCAGAGGAAAAAGCTACAACACAGCTGCTGCTGGTGTTGTAGGCAAGTGTTGAAGAAAATCCACTTCTACCATCCGCAGGTCCAAAGCAATCCCTGTTGTGCTGTGGTCTGGTGTGAAGGACCGACAGACACCTTGTCTGCAGGTCGTCTGCTCACCTATCCTCTGTTACCTGCCTGTGAAACAGCCGAGAGCTTCACAACAAGCTCCTCCAGGAGAGCTTGTGATGTTTTCACCACTAAGGTCTCACTCTTCACTCAGAAAACTGTTAACAATATACCTGGTTGTCATTATTGTTTGCGATATAATAAAATAATAAAATCTGCAAATGTGTTGTCTGCTTATTCTTAGTTATTATACTGAAGGTGGAGTGTATTGCTGACAAAGTTGAGTTAAATGTATGTCACCAGTATACACCATCAGCTCATTTAAATTTGCATTGTTTTTCCCCGAAAACTTACATTCAACATGCATCTTAAAAATGGTCATGTTATAGCAAGATACAATCAAAGTTTAATAATAAAATAACGGTTAAGAAAAAATAAATTATTGGTCAAGTTTTTTTTAATATGTATACATATACATTATATATACATATACATTATATATATATATATATATATATATATATATATATATATATATATATATATATATATGTAATGTCCTTTGAGATTTGTTGGAGTTTCAAGGTATGATACGTATTTTTATGAAGAAATGTAAATAAAGAATTCCCAATTAATCTGAAAAGTTGAAGTAGTGTTATAGTATTTGAAAAAAAACCATTACAAATATTTGTTTGTGTAAGAGGTGAGTGACTACTTAATTATCCCGGTACGAATAAACAGTAAGATCAGATGTATAGGTACATAAACAAATAACAGGATAACAAAATAACAAAATAAATAACAAAACATGTATGGTGTCAACATAAATGATATAATATAAACGAATAACTTAAGTAACTGCATTTTTCTAAAGTTATTGCTAAAGTTGTATTGTAGCTTAATCTGGAGTTAATCACATTCACTTCACACACACCGGACGTTTGTTCATGGCGTCATGACGTAGTGAGGTGACGTCGCAAGCATCCCGGAAGAGAGGCACAGAAAAGTGAACATCGTTTGGACAACGTGAGTTTACAGAGCTGTGAGATCTTCTTCCACACAGTCGTTTAGTCAAACAAAGTCACCACCAGTCTGAAAGTAATAACAGGCTCCAACACAACACGGATAATACCACAATAAAAGGTAGGCAGGCACACATTATAGCTACACATTAGCTTAAATGAATAGCATGCTGCTTCAAACTAGCTTCAAACGAGTTGTTTCCCACATCTCAGTCAGGAAAGACACGTCTTCATGTGTATATGTTTCAAAGGCAACCTTAATTAAATAACAAAGTTCTGTTTTTTCTTTTATCGGTCTGATTTTATATTTACTTGCCTGTTGTTGCTGTTAGTTCACCCTGGCACATGTCATGTCTCTCTTCCCCGGAAATCAGAGCATTCATCATGGCTTTGAATAAATCCATGCACCCCCGGAACCGCTACAAAGACAAACCTCCGGACTTCGCTTACCTGGCGTCCAAATACCCAGACTTCCAGCAGCACGTGCACACCAGCCTGGCAGGCAGACCTGTGTAAGTACCTGACACCAGAAGTACTCAAGTCAGATGTGGTACTTAAGTAAAAGTAGCAATACTACATGTATAAGTCCTGCATTCAAAATAAAAATATACTTAAAGTAGGCTACCAACAGTCAAAGTACTCGTTATGGGTAATGGCCCATTTCAGAATTGTGTATATTGATCAACTGGGTTACTATTATGATTATTCATGTGTTTTTATCACAACTGGTAAATAACTCATTTCAAGAACGTTACATACTGCTGCTGGATATCTTAACCACATATCTAAACGTTTACCTAATGATTCGAGATGTTATATTAGCTAATAATCAAACCGTACAAAGTTACTAGTCACAAAAGCTGTAATGGTGGAGTAAAAAGTACATTATTGGCTTCTAAAATAGTGGAGAAGATGTATAAAGTAGCATACACTGAGAATACTCAGGTAGCAGGTACAAGTACCTCAACATTGTAATTAAGTATTTTACTTGAGCAAATGTACTTTGTTACTATCCTTCACTGCCTGAGACTGAGGAGTGTGTGTGTTCAGTATTTTTAGTAGTGTGCAGTCTATCTTATTACACATCATCCCTGACCTCAAATCTCTCACAATCAGTTGAATGTATGGTGAAGGTGGACACAGCAGCTCTGTTTATTTACTTATGTGTTATTGCACACATAATGACTGTGTGTTTGTATTAGGTGCGTGTACACAGAAGACACTTTTATGTTCATTCTCTGGTTTAGGAGTCAGGTCTTGTGGGAAAATGCATAAGGATACAATTATTTCTTTTTTTAAACAGACGGTTATGCCACAGACAAACAAAATCCTCTTACAAGGGTCTGAGGTAGCTTTATGATCCCACTTGAAATTATTTTAAGTTTGTAAAGTATATTCATTATAAAAATAGGGAACATTTCCCTTTTACACTTCTGTATTACATTGAACAAATACTTGGGTCTAATTGGCACTAAAATTACAAAGCTTTGCTTAATCTATGAAACCGAAATGACTAAATACCTGCTTTACCAAGCGAGGTTCAATTAGTTCCACATTGGCTATTTTTGAACATATATACCAAAGCATACCAAACAATAATTATTCTACCAAATGTGCATCAGCATGTTGGATGTGTTTTTATTCACACACACATTTATTGAAATTAAACTTTCATTATTATTATAGTTTTGGATTAAAATGTTCAACAATACCGTATGGCCGTATGCTCTGGTACTATTACTATTAGCCATCTTGTATGTATATATATTGAAGCAGTGTTGTACAGAAACAGCTTTATGGCAGTATGGCAGAGCCCTGAGGATCCGGTTCAGCACAGATCATGCCCCAGCTGACTCTTTACTGCTCATTCAGCTCCTGCCAACAGCAGGAAGACAAATGATTAATGGACCCCACATCATTTTTTTTTTCTCTCAATCCCCTGTTTGCTGCCCTTTTTTTTCATTAGAAAGACTGCAAGACAGTGACAGTTTGAAAAAAACCTCCTAATTTAAAAAATACGTTGGTTTGTCAATCAAAAGCTGCTCTGTTAGCTGCTTGTGTTTCACAACGTGCTGAAAGCAGAAGCCTGTGTGTGTGAGCATGCTATACCCAGAAAGATGCTGCTGAGAAGTCATGAGGTAAGAAAGGCCAGGCAGGAGGAAAAAGGAAGAAAATGTCTTATGTGATTAGATAGCTGTGTCTGTGGGAAACAAACAGGAAGTAGACCTGGTCTGGGTGGATGGATACATCACATGTGTTTGTATGTCTCCCTGCAGGTGTTAGCTGAGGCCAGAGGCAATATGTTGATGTGTTGTCAGTACGTCTGTTGGTCCGCGATTTCTCCTGAACGCCTGCAGGGGGGATGAACAGATTTAGATTTTGGGGCCAAAGGTCAATATGACCTCCATCCACCCTATTCTGGTGAATACCTTGAGGGACCTTCTTTACATTTGGAATAAAACGTCCTCTTCGAATCGAGGATGAACTGATTAGAATTTGGTCGTCATATATCAAAGTCGTCAAGTATGTCTTTGGACAAGTATTAATGCCTTTAGTATGACAAATTCACGTTTAGCAGAGGCATACAACCTAGAGGTGGTAATTGTAGTTCCTTTTGTTAATATGTCTCAAAAATGTATTGCCATCTTTCTTTGCATGTTTTCTCATGTGATGGTAGACGTTTTTGATTGTGTTTAGCGCTGAAAGTACAGGTGTAAGTAAATAATGAATGATGCATTAAATCCAGGTGTGTTTCCTGCTGTTGTGCGTGTTCACCTGCTTACTGAGACGTTCTTGATGTAATTAATTACATCACGAATGTGCTTTACCTGCTGTGGCAAGATAACGTCCGCAGTTTATTACAATAACCAGAGATCACAGTCATCAGTTTTGCTCCGGTTATCAGAGGTGAAGTTAGAGAGGAAAATGAATAAAGTCACATGTTGTGTTAATAATACCCTCATGCAGAAATATAACGTTGTCATATTTAAAGACACATGCTAACTGAAGCTTTATTCAGACTGGATTTATTTCTCCAGGGGAGGTGATGCTAACATTACCAGCGCTGGTCAGTGTATTTAATCCTATATGGAAACATTAATTAACTCCTTCACCCCAGTAATAATTACAGATGAAATTACAAACTGTTATTTTAGAAAACTTGCTGACACTCTTGTATTAAAAAAATCTGGTCCAGTGAGACATACTTGTATTTCAAAGTACATCTCTGAGGTTCCACATTTGAGGTGCTTGTCCATTTAATTCATTTTTAAATCAAGTCAGTATGAAATGGATAAAAAACATATTAAAAACCAAACTTTTGTTATCAGTACTGAATCTCAGGTACTATATCGCTAGTGTTAATCTAATTTTTTTTTGTTGGTAAAAACACACCAAAATAGCATTTACGGTTAATCTTGGTGAAGCTCTATGTTTTTAGCTAGACATGTCAGCTTGTCATTTTATAAATAAGGTTTTAGTTGTATTTTTAATCTTCTCAATCGAAACAAATGTCTGTGAAAACAAAGCAGCTCTTAATGAATGTAAGCGCTGACAGTGATTGTCTGCTGCTCATCTGTCGGACTCTCCTCCCTTTTTGTTTTTTGTTTTATGAAACAGGTACCGCGTCTGCTCAGTGAGGAAATCACTTGTTATTGACTTTGTTATGCAGATGAATGTCGACATGATGTCCCTGCAGCGAACGTGAACATCTGTGTGTAAACTTGAACATGTTGGTGTGGGCCGATCCTTTGTGGTCGAGAGGAGGACAGTCAATCATCTTATGGCGGGCCTAGCATGTGCATGTGTGGGCACGCTGTAAACTCCACTGCATGTCCGTCTGTGACAGGTGTTAATTATCTGTCTGTCAGTGAGCTACGGACAGATGACAAACAATGGGCTCTGTAAGAGCTGGACAGTCAATGTTGTAATTAAGACAATCAAGCATATAGGCAACTAGACAGGAGTTAGCTGTGTCATTTCTAAACAAATACATGTGAAATGACAAAGAAATTCAACATTGGTTAAAGCAGGTTGTTTGATCGACTTTAGATAAGCATTAGTCCATTTAGTGATGTGAGCATTATATGTGTATTAAGTTGATTGACAGGAAATTAACAAACACTTTTGATTTATTCATCTTTGGAGTCAGTTATAAAGAACAAGACTCATAGTCCACAGCAATGCTAGCATCTACGTAAATGCTAACTTGCTGATAAGAGCTGTTTTGAATTAGAATTATTTTTTGAATTCATATCAGATTTGGATTTTCATTAAGAAGATTTCACTATCCGTTCCTTTTTTCATATACACTGTCTCGCAATCAGAAAATCCTGCCGCCGGATATCTCCGCTCTATTAGAGCTGGCGGCCAAAACTCAGTATGACACGATGACATTTCCCGCTGAACCGTTCAGGCAATTTCCACTATCTCACCCTTTCAGCACTGCATCTCCAATAAAAGCGCTCTCTGGCACAAAAAAAAAATCATAGTAAAAATTGTAATAATAATACTGAGTTTCAAAGATATGACCACAACGACATGACTAAAAGCATCCCCTGACTGTATTATACAAAATTAACTAACATTTTCAGTTGACTGAGGCGTCATCACCAAGCTAACATGTACTGGTGGGAATATTATTAATTTTGCAGGTAGTTAGTCATAACTATAGTTTTGGACTAATGAAAATGTTGATATTGGTGGCACTATATTAAAATCAGTTGATCTCCAATGTTAGTACACCGACATCCCTGCAGCCATGCAGATACCATCCCTTGAAAAATGTTTATTGGCAGTCCGTCAGATGCATATTTATGCCCAGCATCTGAACACAAGTGCTGATTCTACCTTTTTAAACACTTTTTCAGTACATTTCACGATAATCAGACATCGCCTCAGATGCCAATTTGTTCTCTTTTCCCTCTGCATGAACGGATATCCAGGCTTTGCGTCTCCCTTCGTCTGCTACCAGCTCCGGTTAGCCGTCTGCAAAAACTTGGCACTTCTTCGCCATCAGCATGTCATTCCATCAGTGGAGGGATTAGTGTGGTTTTGTATTTCCCAATGAATACATCTACTGGATTTTTAAGTATTTAAGCGGTGAGTTGGGGATGAGAATAATCTTGGGGAGACACTCTCTCAATCCTCGGGGGAGATACGTCTCCCTTAATTTAGGGATCGTCAGTGGGGAGGACTGATAGCAGTTGGCTCAGACCAGCAGGAGAGGAAATATGGGGGGGATGATTGGATTTTGAAGTTAGGAACATATCAAATAAAACTGGTTGTTGGTTTTAGTTTTTGGGGGACCTAAGAAGGGGGGGCTCAGATCAAGCAGTTAGAGGGGGGGGGGATTAGAAGGCATGAATGGGTATTAAATATGCAACAGCCTGGGTAACATTTAATTTTGCTAGGCATATTTTTATGGGCTGAGAGACGACCCTCTGTGGATGGATTTTCACTTCCGTAATTATTGAAATGTTCAATTTTCACAGCAGATCTGTGTTCAGAGATT